GGGCTTGTGTGTGGGCGCTGAAAGTACAAACTGCCACGCTGATTAACTTAATCGATAACTTCCTATTGATTTCAAGAGTTTGAGAACGTCGATCTGGAACGCCTGGTAGCCATGTATGACGTGTCGGACCCTTCGAACGAGGACCTTAAGTGAAATTAGTTTGGACAGAATGGCGCGCATAATTCGGATACGTCAAGGTTTTCACGCTTCAGGCCGCTTTTCTGTTTTACAATTCCAACAATACCTAACACGTTGCGTGCGAAAAAGTGCATCAATGTATACAGATATTTTTTGCTACGTACTTATTAGTAACATTTTTATTCTGTTCAAGAAAAAATGTAATATTTTTCTCATTGCCAATTGACGTTTCGTTAGTTTCTGGCCTGCAGACATTCACATCATGTTATCATTTTATTCTCGTTTTTTGGTTAAAACATGGTATCCAAAGTAAAAAACAACCTCTACAGAAAAACATCTCGTGTTTAACCTTACCATTGTTTGTCGCTTCGGCGGTACGAGTCTGTAATGCACGACATCTGGGTAAATAAATAAGTTGTAGTTTGGCGGTGATTTATTGATTCTAATCTTTCTAACGAACCCCAGACTCGACGAAGTCGTCTGCTTTATTTGCTCATCGCTTGTGACTGTTTTTCTTGTATCAACATTCCTAATAAACTTCCTTAGATGCATCCACTGAAATAATGTCGTGTTTCTCTCCATGACATTCTCAAAATTTCAATTGAAACAACAATATTGAAAATTCTTCTGGTTTTGTTTTATTTTATCATTTTCGAGGTTGGGACGGGTAATGTATAAATATTTCGTCATCCACCTGTTACTCTAAGGCATCACATTTTTTTGTTGTTTTTTTTTGTTTGTTTTTTGCGAACTGGGTGATCTGATTTTTTATTCAAACTAAAGCGTGCCCTTCCGCATAACCCTGTATAAAAACTCTAAACTTAAGTTTTCTGACGGCTGACGGAGATGCTAAACATTCTTTTTTAGGTTTACACACCCCGTATTCGTACGTAACGCGTTACGATGACGTCCGATTAATTACATTTTACTGTAATTTTATAACGCTTCAATATCAAGGCTGCTTGATACGTTGGAAACCCCGGAGCCGGTTTGCTGATTAATACGAGTATCTCTCTTGAAGGTTAACTTACCCGCAAGAGAGTTTTTAAAATCACGTGACCGACTCCATGGGGAGAAGCATCTAGCGTTCCAGCCGATTCCGGTCAGCAGAGTGGAAGGTTTATTATGAAGACGTAATGAAGGCTATACATCTCTTATATTTCCGCTGAGAGAGCTGAAGATTTTTTAATAAAATCTATAAATATGAAAGGTTGGACTGTTTTTAGCGTATTTGGAGAGCATTTAAACTTAAACTTACTTGCAAAATTAAAGTGGCAAAATATAAGGATAACGAAACACATGCTGCTCCATGCCTGACGAAAGCGTCAGATTTTCGCACAGGCAAAGCGAAACAACTGCCCCGTTACACTTCAGGCGGCCCGCACCCTCCACAGAAACGGGAAGAAAGGCATCCGAGAGACTCACCAGGACCACGCCTTGGACATGGCACAGCGGGCCGTAAGGAATCCAAAGAAATTTTGGGAGTATGTAAGACGCAACAAGAACACGTTTCCCCTAAACAGTCGCCAGGACGGCAAAGCTCTAGTCAAGTTAGAAACTGCAGAACATTTTAGCACACATTTCGCTGCAGCGTGACACCATCTAGCAGCCCCTCATCGCTACCAGAAACCTACCCATCAGCACCTCAGCTGGCCACCTTGCTTTGCTTAACCAGTATCCGCATCAACGCGGACGATGCCAAGGAGGCCCTCACCCGACTAAATCTGTAAACAGTCTCCCGGTCCCGACGGCATCCACCCTGCGCCCTTTAAAGCAAGCAGTGAAGAACTAGTCCCATGACTGGTTCGACTATGCCAGGAGCTCGTGGACACTGTGTGCGTGCCTGCCCTATCGAAGCAGGCTAGTGTCACTCCAATTTATAAAAAAAAATGGTTCCCCAGCAGAAAAAACAGGATCCTACAGATTAATCTCCACGAAATTTGTCGTCTGCCGTATAATGGATCGAATGCTAAACTCTGCCGTACACAGATACTTAAACTACCGCGCACGTCTGTCTACAGCGCAGCATGAGTTTCACCGCGGTAGAAGCTGTGAGACTGCCCTGATCAGTGCGGTTGACTAGATAACTGACAGCCTGGACAACTAACTACACTCCGTGCCAACCGGTACAGCTCGAGTTCACCAAAGCCTTTGACAAGGTAGACCAGAAGCTCCTGATAACCAAACTGGAGAGCACCGGTATCAGGGTCCCCCTGTTTCGCTGGCTATCAACCTCATCCTGCACAGACAACAAAATATGATGTTCAACGTATCAAGGTCCCAACCTCGAATTGTACAATCCGGAATCTGCCAAGGCACCAGTAGTTGGTCCAACCTTCTTCTCAATTTTTATCTGCGACATCGTCCAGTTCTTAGACTGCACCGCCATTAAGTATACACATGATCTCAGCCTCCTTCAACCGATTCGATCTCAGGAAGACGACAAACAACTGCAGCAAGACCTTGATCAGATCCAAGACTAGACCATCACAAACGAATTACCACTGAGTGCCTCAATAAGTGGAACAATACACTTCACCACAAGAAAAGCACATTATCTATAAGTAACATTAACTGTTAACGAAACTCCGGTTGAAAAAAAAGGCGACAATAATCCTGCTGGGTGTCACCCTCGACATTACACTCAGCTTCACTGCACATGTCCACTCCGTCGCCTCACGTGCACAACGGATGCTGGGATTTGTGGAAACGTTTAGCATGTAACTGGGATCCGCTGTGCTCGTGCAGCTGTACACTGCGCTGGTCTTGCCGCTATTACAGTATTTCTCGCTTGTCTTGTTGCTATAGGGTGCCTTGACCTAGGCGACACTGGTGCCCCAGTACCTAGGCTTTGAAACCTTAGATCCGAGAGCAACACAGGAGGTGTGCCCCTCCGAATCAACCAACTGACAGAGAGAGGAAGGCGTTTGTTTATATAGTGATTGCCTCCTCTCCCCCCTCCGACATGCCCCCAGCCAATCCCAGAAGGGAATGGGCGGAAAAGAAGTGCGGAAGGCGTGAGGGGATGTCGGCGGGGTTCTGCGTCGTTGGGAGCCACTTTGCTCTTAGATCTTTCTTTATTGCGAGTGCCGTCATGGCTACAGTCAGTGTCCACGGGAGGGAACGCAGATGTCCACTGGTGATGGCGCACCTCAGGGCACGGTTGTCCGTGAAGATCAACGATGAGGGTGGTGCCAGCTGGGCGGCAAGGGTCCAGGCTACCGCTTCCCTCAAGTAGATCCGGGGATCCGATGTTGTCAGGATGGCGAGCGCGGAGGTCGGCGTCACCACACCGAGTCCGTTGTTTGAAGCGTCCGCAAAAAGAAAATGCACTGGCGGGGCGGGAACAAGCGGGAGGGTGTGCGGAAGGCTTCGCCAAAGTTCCTTGAATACAAGAAGCCACTGGAGGGGGGGGGGGGGTGGTTGGTAAGAATCGAGTCGAAAAGCGGACGGAATGCGCTGTAACCCGATCTATACAACGAAAAATAAAAAGCCCACAGGCCGGCGAGGCGGCGGTACTGGGCTCGGGAACAAGGGTTCTCTAGTAGGGGAAGAGTGTCTGCCAAAGACTGGATGCGTTGAGGCGTGTGCCCGATAGTGGAGGTGGCAGTGTCCAAGCGAAAGCCGAGGAACTTAATTGTGCGGGATGGCAAAAGGGGTTGATACGAAAGCCACACATGGTTAGTTGTTGTTCAAAAAGTTGTGTCTGTTGGCTAAGGAACGAGGGATCTGGGTGTGCGAGAAGAAAGTTATCTATGTATGCCCACGCCCAGATCCCGCGTGAACGGAGAGTACGAGAGATAGCAGTCGCCAGCGACTGCATTAAGAATGGAGCGGGTCGGAGCCCGAACGGTAGTCGGGTGAAAGAGAAGTACGCACCGTCAAGGCGGAACGTTGTTAGGCGTTGAGCGGAAGGATGAAGAGATACATGGTAAAAGGCCTCCGCCAGGTCCACCTTCGCAAAATATGCATGTTGCGGGAGGGGGACCTGGAGGAGGACTTTGGGTAAAGGGTAAAGACGGAAAGGTGGAGCACTGAGGTGCGGGGTGAGATGACTAGCGTCCAGGATAAACCTGGATTCCGTTGTGGACTTAGGGGCTAGTTGTATTGGACTCAAATAGGGTCCGCGGCGCGTACGCCTAAGGATGCCAGAAGTGGCCATCGAAGCGACTGCAGCACGTAAAATAGGTAACTGATCGGGAGGAGGAGGGCGGTTGTTAACCACAGAGGTCGCGGTGCAGCGGATCCTCAAGTTGCCATAGTCCGCGGGAGGAAAGAACCCAAAGGTTTCGGCGGTAAGGTCCCAGTTAACTTCTGGGGGGGGAGCACTGGCTCGGACGGGTTGCCATGGAAGGCCGGGCAGAATAGGAAGACGAGAATCGTCCTCAGGTGACTCATCGTCCCCGCTGGAGGGCTCATCAGAGTCATGGTCGCGCAGCCAACGCAGGATGCGATCGGCCGCTAGGACCCAAGTGTCCTCCTCCTCCGTTTCCGAAGAGGAGAGGGAGGAGGAGCACAACGAGGGTGCCAAGGAAGAGGCGGCTGGAGAAGGAGGTACGGGAATGGGAATATCCGCGGCTTTAAGGGCCTGAAGAAGGAGATCTGGAGGATCTTTGACATCCTGGACTACGGCCACTACATGTTGGCCGGCTACGGACACCAAAACTGGCTGGGGTTCGCGCAGCACTATGTCTAGAGGTTCTATCAGTTCTTGAATAAGTGGGGGAGGGAGGTCAGAACTCACCACTGCGGGTGGCGGGGTGTCAGGGAGAGGCGCGTAGTCCACTGAGTCCCACAGAGGCAGGCGGTGGAGCAAGGAGTCGGGGAGGGTGGCCGTAGTGCGTCGCAACGGTGGGAGGAGTTCACTCGGCGGCGTCTGGGACGTCGCGGGGGCGGGCGGCGGGCTGTCGTGGACGGCCACCACGGTTGACGGTGCCTCTTCCTCTGTTAGTTGGCCTGGAGGGCCGGTCGGATGCTGGAGGGGGGGCCTGTGGAGCGGGGAGCGGGGCTCCCAAAAGGTAGGAGGCCGTGGGGTCAGCGTACCCCTGGAGGGCGGCTTGCCATCCTGTGAGCGCAACGTGATAAAGGAGGCGCACTCTGTCGAAGACTCGGAGCTTGGCAGATGCACGGAGGGGGGGGGGGTCGGAGTCCCAGACCTGGAAGAACAGTTCCAGGGTCTGGAGTTCGACGATGTCTCGCGTCCCAAAGAAGCGGGACTGGCGGCTGGCTCGGTCCACGTAAAGGAGTGCGTTGCGGAAGTCCCGACGAGTCGGGGGGTCATGCGTGGTGAAGAGTCTTTGCCCTCGGCTGCCGGTGGGGGCGCGGGTTGGATGGATGTGTCTCGGGTAGTGACGGTCCCAGCGGGGCGGGGTGTCACCGCTGCTGTCGGAGCTGTGGTCCGAGTCGTCGGGGATGTGGGCTCGGTACCAGCCGGCCGGGTCCTGGCTGGAATGGTATCCTCGGAAAATGAGGTCCTCCTCGTCGTCGTCGGTCGTCGTACCGGGGATGGGCTGAGCCATCTCGGAGATACGAGCACGTCGGGTAGTAGGCGTCTCCGGGAAGCCAGCCCTAAGGGCGAGCGTGAGTGCGGAGACAAGCTCCTGGGTTGCCGGCGCCGGGGTGCCGGAGGGCCTGGAGGCCAGCGGGTTGGAGGGCGGAGCGGGGACGGAGCTGAACGGGACCCTACTCGTAGGGCCAGGCGGCGTAGTTGCCGGCATAGGGCTTCCATCCTCGGGTGCCCCAGTACGGATTGACCTAGGCGACACGGGTGCCCCAGTACCATCCAGCAGCGAGCAGCTTTTCCAGATATATGGATCCACGTCAAGCACGCCCGTGTTCAGGAAGTCAATTCGATGGTCGAGGTCATCGCAGTGTTCGGCGGTGCCACCGCGCTTACGATCATATTTTCCCACGTCGTTCTTATGCAGGCGGAGTGGCTCTGGAAATATAGTCTTTTCGCCGACTTAGGAGGCAGGTCACTCAGCGCATGAAATCTGGTAGTCCACGCCTTGAGCTCTTTCGATTGGAAGCTGCCCAGGTGAAAATATGAAGTAGTATTTCAAGTGGTACCTCTTGAATTCAACTGGTACCGCTTGCAAGTCAAGTGGCACCACTTGCAAGTCAAGTTGCACCACTTGTAAGTCAAGTGGTGCCACTTGCAAACCAAGTGGAACCACTTGGACTTCAAGTGGTGCTACTTGGGCCTCAAGTGGTACCGCTTGGGTTGCAAATGGTGCCACATGAGCTTCAAGCGGTACCGCTTGGTTCCAAATGGCACCAGTTTGAAAAATCAGAAACATCACTAATAAAATAAGTGAAAGCTGTTTCTCAATCGGAAAAAGTTTCAGGTATCTTAAATATGTTTTTGTTACAAAAGCCAAATTCAAATATTTTGACAAGATTTCACACATGTATACAGTGTGATAGAGGTGTATGCATATTGATATGCTAATTTTTGCATGAGTACAATATTCTCAAAACACGCGAGGAGAAATTTTTCATGCGAGATTCGCTAAGCCATTAGAAATTTGGGAAATCGTTTCCCGCAAACAGTTATGCACTTCCTGGAGGTCTTTTTTTTTTAATTGAAAAAAAATTGCAACAAGACGCTTCTTGAGCTTGAGCTCAAGAAACGCATGCAGGGCATGGCGAGTCATGAGCGTCTCGTCATCCCTTCACAGCCAATGAGATTGCGACATTATCCGACGCGACCGCCGGAGAACCAATCACGAACCAAGAAGATAACTAGTCACGCCCAGCGTTTCTTAAAGGGTAACTGCAAAGAAAAAAAAACGTTTTTTAAACAGCCTAATTGGGACAAGCATGTCGCAAAACAAATGTTCCGCGAAAAAAATAATTTTTTTTTTATCAATATTTACGCCACAGGACGTCATTTAGTCGAGTCAGAACCTCTCCACATTTGAAACTCCCGCTCTTTCGACCCCCGCGGAGGAGAAGTACGCCCCGCCCCCCACTCTCCTTGCGTTGCGGAGTTGAACGACGCAGCGTCTCAACTTCCGGTAAGATCTGGCAACTACGGCAGGCCGCGGTATTGTTTTGGTTTGACGCGGTTTGCGAGCACATGTAGCGAAGACGTGACCGGACTAGTGCCTCTGTGATGTTCCCGGAAGACGGAAAGTATCATTCGTAATCGTCGTACGTGTTTTGAAAGCGAAGGGAGTTACAGAATCCACGAGTGCACAACCACAACCCAAGGTTCACGACAGCGCTGCGTTGGTTTCGGCGATCTCGTTCTGTTTGGTGCAACACGGCGATGCGACAGAGCTGAAACCTTCGTGGTGTGTGTAATGCGGTGCTATCTGTGTAATGCGGGGTTGGCATACAAAGGTCCAGTCCCGTCGTCGTCAGCTGATCCAGTGAAACTGGTACGGGAAGACGCAGCGAGCGTTTTTAAAAGTAAATTTTCCTTCGTTCTGTTTCAAAATGTGGAAGATTCAGGACGCATACCGTGAGTAAAAAGCTGCGGGCGTTTTCAAATAAATTACGTCGTTTTAATTGAACAATGGACTCCGAATCGACGTCCTAAATCTGCCATTTTTATGCTTCGTGTTGTTGGACTGCGTTTGCACAGCGACGTGTTCCGCTCGTCGTGCGGTGTAAATAAATTTGGGCAAGAGTTTGTACCTGTATACAGATGCATGAACTGAGACCACTTTTTACGTAGTGAACATGGTGCTTTTTATTTTGTGTGTCTAGTTGTGGACGTTAGGTGCACCCGGTGCGAATCTCGATGGCCTCCGGAGCGATATGACGAGAACGTAACTGGACACGTTTGTCGCTACGCGAACGCCCGATTGCCTCCAGCCAAATAGCATTCCTTTCGGGGCGACATGCCTTCTGGAAGGCTCACTGTCGGGATCACGCATCTGACATCTCCGAAAAGTCAGCATTTGCACGCGCAAACAAGCAAAACAAACACACAAAAAAAGCACGCTAAGCAAGCAAAGATGAAAACGAAAGAACCGCGCTATGAAAGCCAAAACCCCGCGTCGCTTCCTATCACTAACACCTGCGACAGCTGCTAAACACACACTACTTCACTTCAAGAAGTCTCACTCAAGCACCTGGGTCAGCACGAAACACTGATCACTTCGGCGAAACGATTAGTCGAGGTAGGCGAGACAGGCGGGAGCAGAGACTTCGGCGGCCATGAAAGAATGGCGAAGCTTTTGTTTGCTATGGTATGAATCCAAACTGAAGTGCCCGTCTTGTAAACCTTTTGTAAAGAATGATAACTCTCATCACATGGGTTATTCTTTAAACGTAAAAATATGCCGCTCAAAAGGAAATTGCAACATATAACGAAGGCTTAATAACCAAGATCTAAGCTGTCAATCAAACTCTTAGCCAATGAGAACTATTAAAGCCGATTGGGATAAACTAGAGCCACTCGATATGGCATCGTAGCTGCCAGAGTAGCGCCACGCTTTTCCCTGTGCCGCCTCTCACCGCGATTGGTCACACGCGGTACCATAGCAACGACCTGAGCTGGCTCGGTTTCCGTAGCAACCGAGTGACGACTCGTCACACTACCTCTCAAGAGCAGTGATGTCATCGGTAAGATGACAGCGCCCAGAGCTGGTGAATGCGAGTTTGTTCGGTGCGGCGGAGTTGTGATGTGCCGCAGCTTGCCGACCATTTAGGGCTTCTTCGTGCTTTCTGACGTAGGTATAACGTGAAGATCTGAAACAATGATACTTTATACCCTTTCTGTGCAAGATCGCACTGGATATTAGCTGCTGTGCGACAGCATCATTAATATCGCTTTAGCGGTGCTCGGGTTTCCGGATGTGTTTGAGGATCGATAAGACATTTAGCATGCAATTTTCGCATTCTCTTAGCTTTATTTGAACGTTGGAGTGTCTGAGAATCGATGCGAAATCTATGCGTCGGATGTTGGGCCTTTTGGGAATTTGTTTTTGCCCCAGGTAACCGCATGATCACAAACTTTTAGCGAGGAAGCTCCTGCGATGTTTACGTGTTGTACTAATCAACCAGGGAACCTGGGTTCAATCCCCACCCCTGCCCGTTTCGATCTGGATGAGCATCGTACTGGCCTCCGGTTCTGTATCACTACTGCGTGGTGCACGTTAAAGACCTATAGAGCTTGCGGTTATACTGCATTGGCTAAATTGCTCATCTACAGCGAGTGACCCGTCGCAACTTTGAAATGGCTGACCAAGTACACGCTGTATAAATATTCACACAACTCCCAAGTACACTAATCAACGATTTTACGATATGCGCAACGCAAGTTCGTCTGCTTATTTTAGTAGGGGTTGTGGTGACGTCAGAATGCCGAGCTCTGATTGGTACTGAATAAATAATAGTGGGTAGACCTTAAGGCAGCTTGCATTTAGGTCTACCTACTCTCCTTCAATCGGAGCCACTCAGATCTCGGCGTTCTGACGTTACCACAACCCCTGCAAAAAGAAGCAGACGAACTTGCGCTCCACATAGCTGTTAGGATAAAATTTTCGCATTTTTCTAGCTTCCTTTGAAAGTCTGAATTTCTGAGAATCATAACGAAAGGTATACGGCGCGTGTAGGGCCTAGGGGAAATTGTTTCAGCCCTGGGTCACCGAATAATCACAGCATTTCTTAGCGAGGAAGCTCCTGCGATCTTTAACCTTTTTTACTAATCGCCAATTTTACGCATTGGCAGTTCTGAAGATTTCGATATAACTTGCTTTCGTTGCAATAGCTTGCGTTTGATTGCAGTGTTTTTTGGTTTGTTTTTCAAGTGAAAAGCTGGCGTTTGCTCAAGTGACGTATATGAAATGTCCTGCTATATGACAATGCATCAACACATACTATTAAACTTAGATGCTTAGAGGTGTGTTCGTCTTTGTAATTAACAAGTTACAGACGTATTTATTTCTTACGAGTGTAATATTTATTTTCTGTAGCTGGGCCCGTTTTGTGCTCCTTAATGTCAGTGTGCTATGACGTTATCATCATGTGTGTATGGTTCTAAATATCCTGTTTACAATGCTTACAAAGGCCAAAATGACGTCAGCCGACCCCAACTCGCGCATTGGACACGAAAACTGCGTCGCTCGGATGTATGCGCTCGTCAGCAATCAATTCGTCCATGGATATTTGAATTCGCGTTTCTGGCGAATGAGTGCCCTGACGGAACTTATCATTACTTGCGAATGCCAAGTTCTACGGTGTGCTTAAAAAGCACGGTGAAAGCTTGGGGTCATCGCACCGGTGCCCTAGCATGTCACGACTGCGTGATTTCACAGTTCTTTTCCGAGTTGAGGATTACAGGTAAGGAAAAAGAAGTTTAAAAATAATTTCGTGGCCCCTTTAATACGGATATGTGTGCTACACCAGATAAAAATATTGACTTTTTGATGGCCGGTAAACTTCCGAACGACCATTTGGCCTGTCGGGAAGAACACCTCATATCCGGCGTCCGTCTTTTTTGATGGCGTCAACAATTCCCTAGAGACCACCATGCCGTCCTTCTTGGTTGAACGGTAGAACCCCGTCGACGTCGCTCCTCACCAGTCGGTGAGAAAATCTCATCTTGAAGGGATGATCGGGTCTTGAAGAAGTATGATGCTAAACATATATACTCGCTCACTATAGGGCAGTCGAGTATCAGTCATGTTCCGAGCCAATCGTCCTGTCGCGGCCGGCGTAATCGGATTTTGTTCCATCGGAGCAAAGTCCGAAAGTACTAGGA